CCCAGGAGGTACAGCTGGATGGAGAGGCTGTGATATGAGGAGATCCAGGATGGAGACACACTTGGAGCTTTTGTGATTAAATTCCATAGACCAAAACAGTAGTGGAGCTTGAACTACTAGCACCCACAACTACAAACAGTGGCTGCAAAGGATAGAGACTAGACTGAGGGCTGGCTTCTCTTGAGTTCTAGAACACCAAGGATCTTAGTTTATTTTCCTTTGCTGTGATAAAACCCCAAACACAGGAACCTAAGAGAGAGGGTTTATTGTGGTCTACAGTTGAGAGGTCACAGCGACAGGAGCTTGAGGGGGCTGGCAAATGGCATCTGTGGCCAAGAAGCAGAGAGAGAGAGAGAGAGAGAGACGAACACCAGTATGGGCTCAGGTAGCTTTTTCCACGTCACACAGCTCGGGATCCCTGCCTGGGGAATGGAGTCTACCACAGTGGGCCACTCTTTCACTCAATCAAGGCAAGCAAGACAATCCCCCCACTCGGGCACACATAGAGGCCCATCTCCCGGGTGACCCCAGATCCCCGTCAAGGTGACAGTTAACACCATCCACTACAACACACATGAACCAACCTCCCTCGCGGGATTTCCTCACACTGTGAGCACCTTCCCGAGCGTGCTGGCCTCGGAAGCCAAGATGTCAGCTAGTGACATTTGAACTTCAAGGTACTCCCTTGAGCGGGCGAAGGGAGGCAGGAATTGACCGAAGGGCCCCCCCCAACCCCTCCCATGTGCTCGTAAGAGCCAACGCAGCCGGTGGAATTCCTCATTACTCTTACAAACACTTTCACTAACTGGATATGCTTGACTTTTAATTTAATAGGAACTTGGCAAAAGAAGCAATCAGCAACCACAGTGAAAGCAACCCACCCCAAAACCTAGACCAGCATAAACGCAAACTTAGTCATTCTGAGTGCATATACTATCTCCTACCAAAGCTCCCCTGCGCAACATACACAGACCACTGCAGACAGTCACAACTCATCACAATGCAGGGAACAACTGATCCTGGGGTGCTCAGACCCACCGGGTACATCTACAACACAACCCCTGCACCCAAGGCCCAGGGGACATTGTGGAAGAACTCTAAGAGGCAGAGGACCAGGAAATCTGCTGAGATGTTTAGCATCTCCTAGAAGTGGCAAGGAATCATCTCCCATGACACTCCGACAACACCGCTTCCTAAACAAGACTTGAACAAGGACAACACCGATAGACACACTGAATTTACGTATTTATGCACACTGTGGTGGTTTCAAAGAAAATGCTCCCCAAAGGCAATGGCAGCATTAGGAGGTGTGGCCTTGTTGGAGGAAGTGTGTCACAGTGGGGGCGGACTTTCAAGCCTCTTTTCTCAAGCTTCTCTCAGTGTGACAGTCAGTCGACTTCCTGTTACCTGAAGACACAGAACTCTGAGCTCCAGCACGGTGTCTGCCTGCATTGCTGCCATGCTCCCCGCCATGACGATAATGGACTGAACCTCTGAAACTGTAAGCCAGCCCCTTCAGTTAGATGCTCTGATTTATAAGAGTTTCCGTGGTCATGGTGTCTCTTCGCAACAACAAAAACCCAGACTAAACAAGAAGCTGGTACCAGGGATTGCGGTATTGCTGACACAGGCCAGACCAGGCTTCCGTTTGGAGTATTATGGACATAGGGATGGTGTATTGGAGAAGCATTTGAAAGCATTAAGTGCTGCTTAACGGGCCATCCTGGTACGAGCATGGAAGACAGTGGTGCTGAGTGTGATTTGATGAACTGTGTGGGGTGGGCGGGGGAGGACTACCTCGAGAAGTTTCAGAGAAGAAGAACTACCTAGAGATCATTCTTGAGGTATTTTGGTGAAGAAAGTAGCTACCTTTTGGCCTTGTCTGAAGAGTCTGCCTGAGACTAAAGTGAAGAATATGGGGATTAATTCCAATGGCAGAAGAGATCTCAAAACATGTGGTGGTTTGTTTGGGTGGTGACTCTAGTGAAGATTTATAATGAAAAGGAACTTAAGAAAAGCTTAGAGACATGCATGGTGGTGCACGACTTTAATCCCAACACTGAGAAAGCAGAGGATGGCGGATCTCTGAATGTGAGGCCAGCCTGGTCTACAGAGTGACGCTCCAGCCTGTGTCTGCCTGCATTGCTGTCATGACGGTAATGGACTGAACCTCTGAAATTGTAAGTGAGCCACCCCAATTAAATGTTTCCTCTATAAGAGTTGGTGTGGTCATGGTGTCTCCTCACAGCAATAAAAACCAAACTAAAATGCACATATATGTAATACATACGTGTGTGTGTGTGTGTGAGAGAGAGAGAGAGAGAGAGAGAGAGAGAGAGAGAGAGAGAGAGAGAGAGAGAGAGAGAGAGAGGAGAGAGAATTAAAGGAAAAGAGGCCAAGAATTTGAGGGAGGTCATGGAAGGAATTAGAAGAAGGAAAGGTATTAAGGTAAATGATGTAATCAGATTTTAAAAAAAGCAACTTCTTCCAAATGGTTCCCTAAGACATGAGTGTGTATCTCACACACACACACACACACACACACACACACACACACACACACACACACACAGTGTACTTGCTTTCACCCACTAAGAATTTTTACTGGCTGTCCTAGGAAACTCTGAGGCCTTCTGCAATTAGACAAGAAACGTGCTTATGAGTCACTGAACAACAGTGTCACTCTCACTCTCACAGGGTCTAGTGGCACAGGCTCGTAATTCTGGAATTGGGAAGGTAGAAGCAGGAAGGAGGAAGATCAGAAGTTCAAGACCAACCTGGGACGTATGAAACCTTGTCTCACAAACAAAAAAGCGTGGCCAGCAAGAAGGTTCAAAAGGTAAAATGCACTTGCTACAGCCAACCCTGAGTTTGATTCCTGGGATCCCCGTGGTGGGAGGAAAGAACCAACTCTCCCAACAAGATGTCCTCTGACCTCCAGGCCCATGCACGGCATGACCTCCCTCTCCCTCTCTCTCTCCCTGCCTCTCCCTCTCCCTCTCCCTCCCTCTCCCTCTCCCCCTCCTCGCCCCCCCTCTCTCACACACACATACACACACACACACACCATGAAAACTAGGGCAATACAGCAAAATAAAAAGCCCCATGACATCCGGAGATGCTCGCTATTGGGCTTCACATTCCTACTGTTTCTACTATTAGCATTTCAGACTGACGCGTTCTAGGCTCCCAGAAAGAACTGCATTTTTTTTCAATGAAATGGTCCCTAGTTCAAGCGTAGTGGCTAATTCCCATTCTTGTCCTCACACTGCATCCAGGTCTGCAGGCTGGCATCTTTGGCATGGCCTGCATGGCTCCCTTTACTGCTGATGTGCTATCTCGGGGCATAGCACCAATGAGCAGGGCCAATTAGGCAGCAGTCTTAACAGAAATGGCTTAGCCCCGAACTCTGGGCTAGCGTGAAGACAGATGCAGAGGGACAACTTTCCCCACACCATTCTGGGCATCCTATGATTTTTGTTCCATCCCAACCTTCCTCTTGTCTCATGAAATTCTCAAGTATTCCACGTGATTTTCATATACTCATTAAAATTTTTTATGTTCGGTGTGAGAATTTCACACAGCTATCAAGTTATTTTCTTACAACGTATCTGCTGTATATGCTCCACAGGGTTGGAATCAGCCCGGTACTTATTATTCCTTCGTTCTAACAACCCTGTGACAAGTCACATAATAAAAACTATCACCCAGTGGTACCTGAGGTGCCGTACTGGGTTTGGAAACACACATTAAAGCCCCAATGTGAAAAATAATAAATTATTACACGGTGTGTTTCTAAAAACGTTCTTCCAGATTTTTCAAATTTCAAAATTCCTATGCGGAAACTGGCAGTACCCTTAGCTTCCCGACTTGAAGGAAGGGTTATGAAAACCAGTGCTAAACCTTGTGCCCTTCCAGCCTTCACGACGATGGCGGAGTTCCTTAGCTACATCACGCATCCAGCTTCATGTAGCTGTGAATCTTAGTGATAACTACACCTCAGCCTGACTTGCTGCGCATTCCAGATCTACCTGCAAATTTCACAGTGAGTTCTCTCTTTAAACAACCAGTCATCCAGGCATCTTTCCCTTCCGTTATGTCAAGTCTTAACCAGATCTGGAACATCCAAAAGCATCTGCATTTCTAATCCCTCAGGGAAATTTGAAATTGAGATAGCGAAAATCAGTAAGAAATACTGAAATTCTTCGTGTGTGTGTGTGTGTGTGTGTGTGTGTGTGTGTGTGTGTGTGTGTGTGTTGAGGCAGGGTGTCAGAGTGTTATCTAGATTGGCCTGGAGCTTGCAATCCTCCTGACTCAGTCAGTGTTGGGATTACTGCCATGCAGTTATTGTTACTGCCGTGCCGGCATTGTTAACACCTGACAGGACTTTTAATCATTACACCTTCATACGACGGGTCTCATGACTGATGCTGAATTAGGAAACACAGTTCCCTTTCTCTTAAGCCCTTGCCTTAAACTCTGACAGGGTTAGTATGACACAAATCTCAGAGTGGGGACGATGGAGGGAGAGATAAGCAGAGAAGCTAAAGGATGCTGCAGGAGGCGGGGCGGGGCTGCAGCCACCTGCGATCCCAGCACTCGGGAGGCAGAGCAGGGAGATGGGAGTAAGTGCTCATCAGCCTGGCCTGCTTGGCGAATACAGGCCAGCTGGGTCTGAGATACAAGACCATCACGACGTCCTCAGGGGAGGTGAGAATCAAGAGCGGGCGCTGAAATCGACGTCAGTGTAGGGATGCCAAAGGAAATGAATCACGGCTGGAGACTCTGAGAGGCAAATGGGCTTCGGAAACACGGCTGTCATTACTTTTCTAATGGGCGCTATTCATTACTCTCAGGTGTGCTAGGGGCCAGTCCATCAGCCGTCGGAGATGTCCCTCAGCTGCGGGAACGCCATTTTAGACTCATGCAGACACCCCTAACCGATGTTACCAAACAGAGAAAAATAACATACGAGACGTCTCAATTAGAACAGCACTCACTGAATTCCCGAAGTCCCGGCTTCTTCACGGGTCTAAGAAGAAATGGAATGACTTGAGCACGTGAGGCGTGAAGGCAGGAAGATGGGGGAGTTCAAGGCCAGCTACGTAGAGTTCTACGTCAAGTTCCTACATTAGACCCTGTCTTGAAAACCGAACATGAAATTAAAATCTAGACTGGCAATCTAGTTCAAAACAAACAGGAAAAGAGGGTGCTGAGGACGAACGCCTCTCTCCACAGTGCTCTGCTGGCTGCCCTGTTTGTCCTCAGAGACATTGCCTCTCTTGTCACCATTGGTGATTTTACAACCTCTGCCATCTCCAAAGGACGCTGAGCCAGAGTCACGACTCCCCTGCAGCTCCATTCACCGTCTCCCTTCCCTACACAGAAGTCGTAGGTAACTGAAGTGCACCGTGGAGTCACAGATATGGCCAGCCACAGTGGAAGGAGAGAAAGAGACAATCACCTCATTGGTCCCCCGCCATCCCACTGGGTTGAAATCTCTGTGCATAAATCACCCAGGGTCTCTTTGGTCTCTACATGCAAGGTCACCGAGCAAGTCACTCAAGGCTCTGGTCAAGGAGAAGCCACCTGTGTGGGCTCACCCAGACATCCGAGCTGTACTGAAGAAATGCTGACACCTAAACCTCAAGTTAACAGGACAGCAGGGTCTGATGACCGAAGCTGGTCCTTACGCCAAGAGGCAGCCTGAGTAAATGAGAGAAAGAAGCATGCACAGCCGCTCCTCAGCCTGCATTCCGGAAGTGGGTGTGGCGCTGCTCAGCCTTGGGTTTGGCACTGAACCTTCTGCACAGGGCAATGTCTCAGGATCCCCTGGAATACACCAGACTAGAGTCACTCCGCATGCTCGACGGAAAGTGACCCCTGGGAGATGCCCCTTCCACGTTCACTTTTATCAATCTGCAGAGATTTTTCAGACCGTCCAGGGCTAACGTCATATCGACTGCTGAGATCGCTAAATGGTGACTTGGCCGGGAAAGGTGAGAAGGCCAAGCTGATACTTCCTTCGGGGCGCAAACTCATCTGTGAAACACAGTGAGTCAGGACTTTTCTGCCACCCTGGAGACAAACCTTGAAGAGGGCCACCATCAGTGACTGTCAGCTATGGGCCGGCACTGTGCCAGGACTTCACGGGTATTGACGACGTGTTGGTTCCTCAAGGTGGCCCTAAGGGGTGGACTGAGTATAGTGTCAATAAAGAAATGGGATCCAGGGCTAGGAGCGGGCTCAGGGTAAAGTGCCGGATGCTCAAATGTGGACCTGAGTTCAGAGCCCAGGCAAAAAGACCGGTGTGGCTACCAGTGTCTGTGACCTCAGCACAGCAGGAGCAGAGATGGGGAGAACCCGGGGGCTCCTTGGTCTAGCCCAGTTGGTGATTTTGAGGGGTCAGCGCGAGACACTGTCTCAAAAACGGTTGGTGAGTGACTGAGGAAGGTACCACAGTGTTGCCCTCTGACCTCCACGGGTATATGCGCGTGCCCTCCCTGACACACACGTATGCACATAGGAACACACACACACACACACACACACACACACACACACACGCACACGCGCGCACGCGTGCGTGCCATCCCAAAACCCCAAATATGAAACCTAGAGACATTTACTAACCTGCCCACAGTTATTCAGCAAATAACGAGTTTCGAGCCGGGACTCAACACCAGGTGTTTACACACCTGCCCTTCACCGTCTGCCTCCTGCCTCCCTTCCCGACAGCCTGGAAGAAAGCCCTCAGACCAGCCAGACAGTGTGGTCAGGCAAGCACAGGGCCCCTGTGTCTGAGAGACAGTGACCCACTACCCACAGCCCTCATCCTGCTGAGATGACACATGCTCCCCTCCCCCACGGGCATCCTAGAGGCTCCCTCAGTAGGCTGGGATCATCTGTGCTGGTTGCTCTACTCTACCCAGATTCTCTGTTCAGAGAGAAACTCAAGCAGGGCCTCGTGCTATGGGTGAGTGTCAAATGCATCCCGGTTGTAGAGAAGAAACAAGAGAAAAAGGGAGTCCCTTGCTGTGTGTAAGACTCGCCACGCCAGCCCTAGGAAGCAGTTAGGAACAGCAAACCTCCCCGCAGCTTTTGGTTCTCTAAGTGTCAGGATTTTCTGCGTCATGCCTTCAACATTAAAACATGGTTTTGCCCTCCCCCCCATCTAACTCATTAATTTGGAACGGGTCTTCTTGAAGTTGATACAAAAGCTAGTTCTCAAAACCAGTTTCATCCCTTACTCTTCCTTTTGCCTAACCTTCAAGGACAGATATTTCCCCCCCCAGAGTATGTTGACAGCCATCGAGGTGACTAAAATATCCAGTATGTCTAAGTGAGAAGTTATTTTTAAAATCATTTGGCTGAGAAAACTCCAATCATGATAATTTCAAGGGAATTCTTGGGACACAAATTAAATGTTTTTAAATTACTCTTTAAAGACTTGTGAGTTCGAATGATCTTGAATTAAAAATATCTGCACCCATGCATATGCATCAGGTGTCTTTAAGTTCTGTACCATACAAAATTATGTTGGAGGTTTCCTTGTGTGGTCAGCAATAGTAGTGACACCATCTCCCTGATTGGGCCATTTTTACCTTCTGGGCTTGAGGGTGTCATTTACCTTATCTTGGTGGGCATCCTCGTGTCCAAAGAGGGGTAAGGATCCTCACTCTTTCATGGATCAACTGAAAAGCCTTTCTGAGAGTTTAGCACTGGCTTTAGATAGCATGGTATTAAAATAGCAAGCCTGAATCTAACTACAGGGATGCCGGCCTGGCCTGGCTGTCTGAATGCTGTCTGAGCTCATGACCTTGGGTGGGTCCAGCCTGGCTTCTCTAACTTGAAGGCTGAAGATCCCCGGCAGGGCAGGCACACAGTAGGTGATTCAGCAAGATGCATCTAGTTTACCTTAAAGAATTCACACACCAGCTCAAAGGCCTGAACATAAAGCACAGCCCCAAACACACTGTGACAGCCAGAAATAAGCTTCAACCGCCCTACACCGTGCGGACTGAGGCTGTGCTTGTATTCTCTGGCCCTGTCTGAGAGCGCCCGCCCGTTTCTGGAGGCCTCCGAGGCACTGTAGTTTAACAAAACCAGAGTGTCTCTACTCCAAGCTCAGGTTTTCCAGCCCTGCCTTTTCCATGATGAGCTTCCCTTTGTGCTACTTAGACAGGCCTGGGGAACGGACGAGGACCGGACCCGAGCAGCAGGTGGGTCTGTAGCTGTCTTTGGGGCTGTGCAGGGTGACCACAGGGCCTCTCCAGCTCCACCAGACTGCGAGCGAGGGCCCTGGGAGGAGGGAAAAGCCTCAGGCAGGAGAAAGGTAGAATCCTACACCCAGCCTCGCTGGGGTAAGGGGGAGCCCAAGTGTGCCCACAGTCAATCTCCAAGCAGTTAGGGGTGCAGCTGGGGTGGGGTTGGGGGGGCGCATGCAGCTGGGTTAGTCTCCACTCCACCATGCGGCTTGGCATGCCCTCCCGCCGGGCGCTCAGGCGGAACAGACTGGATGCTTACAATGATGCCAGCCCAGAACGGAGTGTCTCTGACTAGCAGGGAGGGGCTGATGCTCGCCATGAGGAAGCCCAGCACGGTCACGGCGATGCCCAGCGCCAGCTGCAGCAGTGCCAGCAGCAGCGGGAAGCGGCAGCCACAGCAGGTCCGAGCCTCCTCGTCCAGGCGCTCCTGCGCCCCAGGGCCCGGTTTGCGCCCCATGTTCCCGATGGTGGTGGCTGAGCCTGGGCCGAGGCTGGGCCTGCTTGGTCTGCAGCCTGGGTGAGCAAACATGGAAAGCACTCTCGGGCCAGGCGGGCCAGGCGCGGCCTAGGGGGACCCGAGGGGGGTCGCCAACTGCCAACGCGTGGGGACCTGGTGCCCAGGGCCTGTGTGATGGGAATGCCTGCCTGCTGTGCATTTTGGTTCCCAGGACGTGCAAGATGCCGTGTTGAATGCTGGAACCGCTTGCGTTTTAATTAATTAATAGATCGTTGAACAGGGAAACGGGCTCGGCTGCACTAAAGCTGTGAAGTCATTGCCAAAAGTTATCCTTTTTTCTAAATATGTGATCCAACTAACAAAGGAGGGAGGGAAGGAGGAAGGCAGGAAGGAAGGATCAGAGGGAAAAAATAAAGAAAAAAAGAAGAGAAGAAAACAGGAAAGAAAAATAATAAAACTTTTTTTTTCTCACTGAGGCACCTTTTGTTCCTGGTGGGTGAGGTGATCCGAGTTCACGGTAGAAAGAGAAAACTGACTCTGAGATATTGAATCCCTGGTCTTGTACACACGAGACTCACACGTCATACACATGCACACACACAATAATAATAATAATAATAATAATAATAATAAATAATAATTAACAGTGGAATAACTGTTGGCAGAGAGGCTGGGCTAATGGTGACACCTCTCACACGTGCTAGTTTTTTAAAAGCTCTTTGTCCTCATTTGTATCTTCAGACAGCCTCTTGCAGCCCAGGCTGGGTCAAACTCGCAGTTTATTCACAGATGACCTTGAATTCTTAATCCTCCTCCCTCTGCTTCCCAAGTGCTGGGATCACAGGTGCGCGTCACCACACCCAGTCCCTGAATTTAAAAGCTACTATAACAGTGTCTATGAGGTCCCCAGGAGGTCCTCACCTTGTGGCTCAGTGTCTGAAGGTGCCGATGACTCTTGGCAGAGATGCACAGTTGCACCCAGGCAACACTTAAGAGCTACTTTTAGCACCTGCAATGTGCTAGGACAGGTAGCTACAGATCTGGTTCCCACCAGAAGGCACAGAACCGATAGATGGGTAATCCCGGATATTCCCGTTTTCTTCCATACCGTCATGAGGCGGCGGCATTTGGGACAAACTAGTGTGAAGCCACTAAGAAACAGTCCCATTATGGGAGTGGGAGTTTAGGCTCCCTTTCGAGTGGTCACTTTAACATCCCGAAGCTTTATTCAAAAGGAGATTATGTCTCCAAGATGTTAAAGAATAAATGATGCCTATTCCTAGGTTGATTGACACTGCCAAGTCTAAACTTCCTGCTACCCCCTCAGATTTCCAGACTAACTACGGTCTGTGGAGAACGTGCAGAGGTACTCAGCCAATGGGACTCAGCACACTCGTTAAGTTCCCACTCAGGATGGCCCGACCACTGCCACACTCACCAGGGACACAGAGCAGCACAGGAAGGGGACCATCACGGTTGGGGCAGTCACAGAACCATGAGGTTTCCAGAAGGAACAGACAAAAGCTGGTACTAAAATAGAATATGATTCTCCCACTGACAAGGACAGCCCAGCAAGGGAACAAAAAAAAAACACTTGGTTTTTCTGTATTAATCTAATAAAAAATCACAGCGAGGCAGCATACTATCTGTAACTAGTTATTCATCTGTGTAGCGTAGCTCCTTGCTGGGTCTGGTGGCACAGACCGGTATTCCTGGAGTCTGCAAGGACAGGAGCAGGCAGGTGGTAAGTTCAAGGCTGGGATTTAAGGAGAACTCTACAGAGAAAAATCTAGCACGTTTGTCACTGGCACTGTGGTTATAACAGTCTTGGTTAGCGTTTCTATTGCTGTGACAAGACACCATGGCCAAACGCAATTTGAGGAGGAAAGAGTTTATTTCATCTTACAGATTTCAGGTCACGGTCTCTCACTAGGGCAATCAGGGCAGGCTTTGTAGCAGAGGCCATGAAAGGACGTCTGGTTCTCCTCTTGGCTTGCTAGGCTTGATTTTTTTTTTGACAACTCAGGACCACCTGCCCAGAGAAGAGACCACCCCCCACGAGCTACCCCACCAACATCAATCATTAATCAAGAAATGTCCCCACAGGCTAATCTACAGAGGCAATTTCTCAATTGAGGTTCTCTTTGCAGATGACCCTAGCTTGTGTCAACTTGACAAAAAAATTAAACAACGTATCCCTAGGGCTAAAGAAATGGCTGGGAAGTTAAAAGCACTGGCTGGTCTTGCAGAGAACCTGGGTTCAATCCCAGCGCCCGTATTGGGCATCTCACACCCATTTTTAACTCCAGGTTAACTGGGTGCCCTTTTCTGGCATCCGTGGGCACCACACACACGGTACCCATTCATACATGCAGGCAAAACACTCATGCTCGTGAAAGTAAATAAGTTTGTGGAGCCACCTCTCTTGGAAAAGACAGGGGCAGAAAAGAAAATAAGCAATAGTTCTATACTATAAAGCTGCAGTAAAACTCCTCTCCTGTCATGGCTTGAATCTACACATCCCTCAAAAGTCTATGTGTCAACGACGCTGTCACTTACCTCGGCCACTTTCGGGGGGGGGGGATGGTGAAGACTTTTGGGAGTGGGGCATAGTGGGAGGGAGGCGTGTCCCCAGGGCATGCCCTTGGAGTAGATACTGGGACCCTGACCCTCCCGCTCTTCCTGTCTTGAGGGAAACTGTTCCCGCCGCCACGCCACAAGTTCTTAGGATAATAGACAGCATCACCACAGAGACACAGACCCAAAGCAACAGGGTCGAGGGACCTGACACAAAGACCCACACCTCTGTCACCATGAGCAAAACTACGCCTGCCTACACTGTTTTTAAGTTGGTTCTCTTTCCTCCCACCCCTATTGAGGACGATTAACCTAGACAGGATAGGGATGCCATATGATATCTTATTAGGGAGAAGTCACTTATATGAGGAGGAAGCTGATAAAGATGTCACCTGGTGCGAGCACAGTGGGTGGTTAATTATCAGGCAAGTTGTCTGAAGTAGGGGAATCTCTACAGGGCAAAGGTCTGACTGAGGCAGGAGGAAGCCCCTAGGGCAGAGGGCAGCTAAGCCTGGAGGGGTTGCCAGAGGGCTTGGTGAGAAAGCTCTTGTCTTTGGGGCTCTTCTAGAATATGTACACAATGGACGCAGCATCAGTATCTCCCTTTAAATGATACAGACTTTAGATACAGAGTGACTACACCTCCATGTTCCAGCCTACAATACATTTTATCATCTATCTTGTAACCATGTAAGTTCTAACGTATTATAATACATCATTTTATCAAAAATTTCTCTGGAATAAAACTCCACTAATAACTAGGCAGTGGTGGCACACACCTTTAATCCCAGCACTTAGGAGGCAGAGACAGGTGGATCTCTGAGTTTGAAGCCAGCCTGATCTACAAGAGCTAGTTCCAGGACAGCCAGGGCAACACAGAGTAACCCTGTTTCAAAAACACAAACAAACAAAAAACTCTACTAGTATTCACAGCAGCAATAACACCTGGGTGGTACATATGCTAGCTGAAACTAGAAACCATCTTACTTACATAGTATCTATTTAGGTAGGAATTTCCCAAGATGGGGTAAGTGTTTTGCTCTAATCCTTTTTTTTTTTCTTTTTAACCTAGCCTAAAACCTGCAACTTTAAATCTAAATTTCTCTTTATTCCCACTTACATTCAAGCTGAAAGACTTAGGGACTTTGGCTGCACAGACTGTATTTATATGTGCCAGGGCAATTGTCCGTGCTAAGGGGCTGTTTCTCTGTGTGTAGACTTCCCCATTGTATCAGAACGGGGAGATGAGCTGTGATGCAGGGGGTCAGCCATGAGCCCCATGCTTAGTGATACTTGGTTCCTTATCACCCACCCCAGTGTGAGAGAAACTGTACATCCTTTTTACATTTTTTGCATGTGTACGTGTTCATGTGTGTACAGGTACACGGGCAAGTGCAATTACATTAGTAGATGCACATGCGTGTGGAGGCCAGACTTCAACACTGGGTATCCACCTCAGTCACTATCTTTGTTTTTCAAGACAGGGTCTCTCACTGACCCTGGAGCTCCCAGGCTCAGCCAGGCTGGCTGATAGATCCTCTTGTCTCTGCCTCCCTAGGGTTAGGATTACAGGCACACCAAGTTGTTTCCCGTGTTTAAATGTAGATGCTTGGGACTGAACTCAGGTCCCCACGCTTGCGTGGCAAGCGCTTTACCAACTGAGCCGTCTCCCCAGCCTCTCAAAATACATTCATAAATCCTAAGTAGCAATCTGGATTCTAGTACTTCTAATATAAACATTTCTTGGAAATCTTTGAGCTGCCTGTCTTACTTGTCTGTTGTTGTCTTTAGGAACCATTCGACCAACACATTTTGGACGAATGATAATCAGGTTTTCCAAGCAGTAACATAAGAAGGCCTTAAGAATCACTGCAGAACATTCTGCGTGCTGTATGCAAACTATCAGACTCTCATTCTGACAACTAATCCTCCTCCCCAGCTGAACAGTCAGGTCACTGTCTGCCTTTAAGCCAGACTGGCATCTGCGGTCATCCTTAACAGGTTCCATCGACCCAAGGCCCTGCACTTAATTCTAACTTTGGATCTGCAACTAACCGTGGTAGGGCTGGCTCTTCCTCTCCCCCAGTTCCGTGACCGGCCAACCTCCACTGCGGGCCCCACCATCCATGCCTGTGAGTGGAGCATCTCCCTGAACCTCAGTTTGCTTCCCTCGCCGAGAGACGTGTGGCGTGACGACACCTGCCTCAGGAGCTTGGCTCGAGGTGTAAATGCTGACACATCCCGGCATCGATAACTGATCAACTGTAAGTGATCGGTAATTACTAACTGCCATCTCGATGCTGTCTCCCCCAACCCTCTGCTTTTTTATTTATAATGTTCTCCAGTGTGCTTTGTGAAGTGTACATCAAAACAGAAGGCGTTCCCCATATTACGATTTGCATAGTTTATTTCAAGTTATTCTGTGGAAGTTATTGATTTCTAGCACTTCAAAAACATTTTTTGTTTGTTTTGTCACAGTGGCATTTTCCTATAACTCTAGAACCTGAAAGATGGAGGCAGGAGAATAAGGAGTTCAAGGCCAGCCCCAGCTACACAGCAAGTTCCTGGCCAGTCTGGGCTATATGAAACCCCACGTCAGAAGCAAACAAATAACAAAAGAGATGCTTTGATAACCTGACTTCGACAGTTAGTCTTCATTGTCGACCTGACTACATTTAGAATCCCCCGGTTCACATAGCTCCAGGTACGGTTGTGAGGGCTTTAACTGAGCAGGAAGACTCCACTCTGGACGTGGATTCCTGGATTCCGTGGACTGGGGCTTCAGATGGAATAGAAAGAAGAAATGGGGGGCGCTGAGCACTGTGTGACCAGCTGCCCCACACTCCTGCCTCCCACCATGACGGGCTACACCCCCAAACAAGGCAAACGGAACTCTCTTTCCCTGACGCTGCTTTTGTCAGGTACCGTGTCACAACATTGGAGAGGAACTAACATGGGGACGTTAGTCAGACACTGCCCGATTCGACGGGGGGGGGGATTCTTAACTTCTCAAATGTTTCACCCCCCTAGAGCATGGTCCACGGTGTGTTAGAGACGTCACGGTTTCGTGATCCAAGATCTTGCCTAGCTCTCTGTCTACGTCAAGAAAACAATCCACCCCATTTTGGCATCATCTTGTGGCCTAAGAACCGGGGCCTCGGCTTGACAAACCACAAAATCAGGGTACCCTGCCCACTACCCCGGGGTCAAGGGGCGGGTGTATGAAGGACCATGCTGGCGCAGGCGGTATAAGAACGCCCTCTTTAGATGGGAATGGATGCTACAATGAGGGGCGTCCTCTCCTCTTGGAAGCCAGCCGCCCATGACCAGCGTTCTCTCCTACAACTTAACGCCCGTCGACGTGGCAGGTGAGAGCAAGGTCCACGGGAAATAAGAGACAGGCTAACGGAGGGGGAGATGTTGTGGGAGGAGGCTGGTGACGGTATTTAAGCATCAAAAACTAACCCTGGAGCCAGCGCGCTCTGCAGCACCCCTTGGGAGACCCTCTTGTACGGTGCCCTCCCCACACAGCGTTTGCAATTTGGGATTTCAGGTCCTATTTCACAATCGCCACACTGATGTCTGGGGTGTATTTGTGTCTACAAAGCAGCCTTGGCTGGCTTGCTACACTGGAACGTCTCCCCAAATCAGAGGAGTGTTGTGTGGACGCACTCACTTATGTGTCTCTCAAACAGCAGTTACAAGAACAAAGCAAGACAAAGCAAAACAAACCAAAAAAAAAACCTAGCAAACAAAAAATCAAATACAGAAACAACGCAAGGAACGAAAGGCTCATTTTGGCTCATGGCCTTAGCGGGTTCTCTCCTCGAGGGCGAGAAGTCACGCGTGAAGGAGCGCAGACTGGCGGTGGGAGTGTGGTGGAGGCGGTCCCCAGGAACGCCATCTCCAGCCCCTCTCTCCTTTCCCGGTTTCCAGGACCCCCGAGTCATGGGTTCATGTCAAACCGTGTTCAGAACAGGTCTCTCTTGGTCAGTTAATCATCTCTGGGAAAGCCCCACAGGCAAGCCTACGGATGTACCTCGGTGGTCTCCTAGGTCATTCTGAATCTAGTCTGGGAGCACCATAGCAGTATGGCCGGATCTCACTTAGCTGTGCTGGGGACATAGCTTGGTGACCAAGGCCTACTAAGCACAGTCCAGTCTGGACTCCACAAAAGCAAGGGGCCACGCCCCTTTCTAAGCCCTGCTTCCTGTTCACTGGTCCTTCTCTGTCAGCTAGCTTGCCGGCCTCTTTCCCTGAAGTCCTCACACCCTTAAGGTTCCCTTTCGACTGTAGCAGGGCGAGGGCACGAGGAAGACACACAGAGCTAGCTGCTAAGCTGTCCTTTTCATGAGGAAGCATCATGAGAAGAGGGAGACTTCTCTGCAGGTACAGAGAGGGCGAGGGCAATGAGCTCAGACTCTGACTTCTGCTTCTTCCGCTTCAGGGCACCAGGCTCTTTAGTGCCTGTGTCTGGGTTGGGCTCCTTCCCTGGTGATCCTGATTCAGGAAGGGAACTGGAAAGTCTGTACTTCCCAAAGAACTCCCTGATGACCCTGATACGTGGTTAGTCCTGCAGATCACCCTCAGTCACAGGAGAGGAAAGAAGAAGGAAGGGAGGGAGGGAGGGAAGGAGGAAAGGAGGAAGGGAGGGAGGGAGGGAGGGAGGGAGGGAGGGAGGGAGGGAGGGAGGGAGGGAAGGAAAGGAAGGGAGTTAGCCAAGCCATGTACCAAACAGGGCCTCTAAAATGGATGACTTTTAGTCTCTGCCCATGTTTAAGTCAAATATTCACTTGCTAAGATTACAGATATTCAAAAACCTTCAGAATTTCTCTTGAGGAACGTTGATAATTACCAATGTGACTTTTTTTTATGGTGATCATTAACCTAGAGCAGAGACTTAAAGTGGGGACCCTGACTTCATCCCCCATGCCTAAAAGCTTTGACCTTTCTACTGTGACTGATCAATGACTGGCTGTTGGAATGAATGAATGAATGAATGAATGAATGAATGAACAAATGAATGACCCAGTGCTTCAGGTCACCAGTTTCCCATGATCACACTACTGGCAAATGTCAGTGCTGACGGAAAATCAACTCAGTCTATACCCGGTACTCAAGGCCTCTCCTGCTTACTGCTAGGCAGCTGTCAGTCGTCTCTCCTGTTAAATCTGTCCTTTGAAAATATTAGGAATATAACGGGGGCTGGAGAGATAGCTCGGTGCTTATAAGAGCACTTGCTGCTCTTGCAGAAAACCAGAGTTTGGTTTCTAGCAATCAGATGGTAGTTCACAACTGTCCAGGGGATCTTACACAGTCTTCAGGCCTCTACAGGCACCCAGGCATGTGCACGGTACACAGACAGACATGCAGACAAACACTCATCTACATTAAAGTTTTAAAAATTAGTACAAATCTATTTTAAGAATAGAGAAAGAAAAAATGAATGGCGGGACCATTAGCATTTAAACACAATTCTTAAAACATAATTTAAAAAATTCCTGAGCAACAGCCACCCTGTGCGGGGACATGTCTCTCCAAGCAGCTGCCTTGAAGGGACAGCAGCCTGGTACAACTACATTCTGCATCCCAGGGGGTCAGCCTCTGAGTCCGTTTCCACAAAATCCACCCTGCGTGACCTTCTCCTAACCGTCCCAATGGCAGACACTGGCGCTCTGGAGTTAGTCAGGTGATCAATTGTCTGGGCAAAGGCGATTGCCCCCACTGGACAAGTTGGGCTCAAGTGCCCGGCAAAGTACAGAAGCAACTCCACCGTGCTCTTTAGTGGGGACCGTCACCCTCACAGCCAAAGGCTTTGAGATAACACCATCCATCTCAGTGCCGTGTGTAAACTGGCTTGCATTTCTAAAAGAAAGAAACTGCGTTTTTCCAGCGTCTTCTCACGGCACTCCCTATTTTCAACCATCATCGAGAATACACAACTATAGTATTACTTGGTCTCCAAAACAAGACTGAGCGAAAGGACCACAGTTGTCAGCCAGCCCCGCCCCCACCCCCAGCAGTGAGAAAGTCCTCAACCCTGGCCCTCAGTAATGATCTTCCACAGGTGATTGCTATTATCACTTCTCAGTAGACGACAACACAGAGTTCTGACAGACAAAGGATGAATCAGACAAGGCTCCCTCCGTGGTGGGAGAGATGCCACTCAGAGCAGCTTCTTAGACAAGGAAAATCAAAGGCAAGCAGACATTAAAGGGAGCTAACCCTCCAGACCACGGTTTCTTCACCATACTCAGCTCAAGTGTGAACCCTACCAAAGATTCTGCGCTGTGTCTGACTCATTTAACCCCCCCAACACTGGCTGTGGACTGTTCCGGAGGGAGGGTCCAGTTGAGAGCATCGTGCTGTGGAAACTGGCAGGCAGCAGATGAGCTTGTTTTGCTTTGTTTTTTTGAGACAGGAGCTCACTATGTAGACCAAACCGGCCTCCACTCATGATCACCCTGCCTTCACCTCTGAGATGCTGGGTTACAGGTGTCTGTCACTATACCAGTTCACTTACCAGATTTTTTTTCCACCTGAGGCAGGTTCTCACCCTATAGCCCAGGCTAGCTTAGAACTCACTTATGTAGCATAGGCTGAGCTGGAACTGGCAGAAACCTTCCTGGTTCAACCTCTAAAGTGGGAGATTTCACACAGGCATGAGTCAGTGGGCTCTCTTGGGAATGTTACTATTTTCTTTTCCTGAGTAGCACACACTTAAGCAGCTCGCTGGTTTTTTGGTTTTCATTTGTCTTCGGCTGATGTGTCCATGCAAACACCTACTGGAAGCTTGCACATAAAGCGGTGCTTGGGTTCTTCAGTGACTGTTGAGTCCCTACCCATGTGGGAGATTCTGGGGGAGTCAGCTAAAGTGTAAATGTCTAGTTTCCCCCTCTTTCTTCCCAAAAGGCCTCACAAACCTTTCAAGTTTCTGCACATCCTAAAATAACATTGCCAGTATCCCAGGAATTGTATATGGATGTAACTACTTGAGTTTAAATTGTCAGTTGCATATACTTTCATCAACACTGCCAGTATCCCAGGAATTGTATCCGAGTGTAACCATTTAAGTATAAATTGTCAGTTGCATCTACTTTCACACAGAGAGGAGAGGAGATGCGCCTCCTACTTACCTTCTTGAGTTCACACCTTGGAGCACGAGCTCTGTGTGTCACTTTGTAGGACGGAACTTCTGGGAGTAGCGTAGGATGTGACATGAAAGTCCCATTCCTAGTTGTCTCTCCTGACGAGGCTCTGTGAGCACCCTAATGTCTAGAGGTGTCGGGACACTCCGCTCATGGTTTCAAGAATAGGAATCACGCTGTAATGCGCCCGACTGTGTGAAAGAATGTTCAGCACCTCCTGCTCCGATTCACGGCGGATGGTCTAGATTCTGAGTCTCCCAGGACCTGTTCGGTGTGTGGCCATACCTCCTTCACGCCCGCCTTGCTCTTTAGCAAAGGTTTCATGATTTGTTCACAGCTCCGAGGAAGAAACTGCAGAAAGAAAAGAAACACAGGTTCATCAACTTCCCCCAGCTCCACCGTTTAATCTCCCCGTTCTCTCGTTCCGAACCAGGCTGTAGGGGAGTCAGGTGGTCTTGGGGGACACCAGAGAACTACAGAGCACACAGCCTCTAGGTGGGACCCACAGAAGCCTTCTCTCTAAAAGACAGCAGCAGACGTGGGTATGTTACTAAAGTTGCACATGCACACATGCCTGCTAACACAACCTGGTATTCAGGGGTTCCAGTGCCTAAGCGGTGAGCATTATCAGGGAAACACACAACATTGCACGTGTCTGTGTGAGCGCGGTAGGGCACAGCTGGACGCCTGAACTGGCTCAGACGCCTCCTTCACCAAGCATGACTCTTTACAACTGCCTTTAATGACCGCTGACCATGGCACTAACACACTCTAGGCTGCACAATGACATCAAAGTTTCTGGCCCTGGATCTGTATAGCTACCG